AGGTAGTCGTGGTTGAACATTGCATGGTAGTCCTTCACAATCTTGCCGCTCTTCTTGCCACCCACAAAGTTGTCAAGGCCCAAAAGATGCGCTACGTCCGATCCATCGTCCAGGATACCCGCAATAAAGCAGTATCGCCGGCCCTTGTGCTTCGACTTCGTCATGGGATCGTCGGGATGATACAGACTGTCCGCATGGCTCGAGTAGTGGTGATGGACAAAGCTTTCGTCCAGGTAGACGACAGGGCCACGGGGGAACATCATCACTGTGGGGACCATCATGCCCACGTACGCGTCACGGGCGCCTTGCTCATGCGATACTCGGTGGCATCCACACGATTCCCCCTCGCATATCCTTGCTTGGCCAGGTATGACTGCACTGCGCGAAGGCAGGACCCATAGCTCTTCTTGCAGCTGACATCGACCGACACGACATTGTGTTCTTGGAGCAGGGCTAACACGTCCTTCCCGACCGTCCGGGTACGGGTTACAGAGCGGTCACGGATGAATGTCCTCACGAGGTCACGGACAGCACGAGTTTTCAGTACAGTTGTGCGGTGATTGGTTGTGTTGGATGGCGGTTCAGCAACCGACAGATCGCCCAAGGTGTTGAACTCGGCAAGAACGCCTTGTACAGTCTTTTTCGCTCGACCTAGGCTCCAGTAACATCCAGGTTGCCTTGCTCGCGGAGAGTCGCTTGGAGCCAAAGTATGTCCAACTTCTCATCGTACGACAAGCTGCGCCTACGGCGCAACTTGACGAACTGTTTGATTCGAGCTGCGGTGGAAGCATCCATTGCGTTGACGTCGGATTCGATTTTGGCGCCGTAAGTTCGACATTTTTTGTCATGGCCTGGAATTGGTGGGAATCGATTGGGCTAATCACAGCGGTCATTTTGGCAATTATTTCATCGAAATCCGTTACGAAATGAAGGAATCAGATCAAAAAGAGTGAAATTTGGTATATTTTGTACGGGTATTTTGATTCTCAATGTTACACACCACCATTGAGATATAAGAGTTTTTCTGGATTGCATTTTTTTACATTTCCCAGTTCCTAATCCACATGGTGTAATTGATTTTCACAAGTAATTATTCTTCATGGTGTTGTTTTATGA